TCCTGAATGAAAATAGTTAGCCAGAGACTAGTCTTGGTGAATCCTGGATAGTACCTGCACACCTGATCCCCACCAATATATCCCAGCCACCAAGGTCAAGGAAAATTCCATTTATCATTACACTTACCCTGGCTTTTTTCTATACTCAGTCAGCTTTACTCCTGAATGGTATTTAATGCTACTCACTAACCGTGAGTAGAGTTGAGCTTGGACCCCTGGCTTTGGCTTGGTCAAGTCCTTTGCACCTCCAGGTCACTGGATATCTTTAATTTATACATTCAACCCCACATAGTCTCTGAGCCAATGAGAACTAAGGCCCCAAAGTATTTGCTCAGAGTAGAGAAGCTGCTATCCCAGAAAACCTGAAGTATTCTGATAAAGCAGCACTTTGACTCCAATTCCCACCCTTGTTCCCAGGCCATGAATCTTAGTGTTGAGTCCTTGTCACTGATCTTATAGTTCTCCTAGAAATCCACTTGGCTACTGACCAACAATGCCACCCTCCCACTCCTGGCTATTAACAACCTCTCACATAGAGACCAAACCCTGTCATGCTGAGATCAAGGGATCCTTCTTGGATTCTTTAGATCAACAATTTCCATTATGATAGCCACTTAGCAATATGTGGCAATTGAACAATTGAAATGTCACTAGTCCAAACAGAGATGTGCTATAAATATAAAATACACATGGAGTTTCAGACTTAGACTGAAATAAAGCATATAAATTATTGTATTTGTAATTTTATATTAATTATGTACTGAAATAACAATTGTTTTTGATAGACTAAACAAAACATTGTTAAAATTAATTTCAACTATTTCCTTTTACTTTTTTAATGTGGCTACTAGAAAATTTAAAGTTACATACATGGCTCATATTGTAGTCCTACTGGACACCACAAAGACATCCACTACTATGCTTTGGATCTTCAATGCCTCCCAAAAGCTCATATTTTGAAGGCTTGACCCCCAGCCAATGGTGCTGTGGGGAGATGATGGAAACTTGGGGCAAGTAGGTCATTGGGGATGTATCCCTGAAGAATATACTGAGACCTGAACCTTTCCCCTCTCTCTATGCTTCCCTGATGCCATGAGGTAAGTATTTTTGCTCTATATTATGCCTCCACCATGATTAGCTCCTCATCATGGGTCCAAAATAAATGGGCCAACAAACTATAGTCTGAAACTATGAAATAAAATAAATCTTTCTTCTAAATTATTTATCTCAGGTATTGTATTACAGTGACATAAAACTAACACAACCACTCTCCAAAAAATTCTATATCTCCCTATACTCACTCCACTGGCCTGTGACAAGCAAGGCTTATAGCCAACATCTATTCTACTATCTGAAAAGCAGACTATTCCATCTGATCTCTTTAGGTGACTAAATTTCTGTTGAATGACTCTCCTATAATACATGCTATTCTTCTCATTTCTAATTAAATTTGCAAAACTCCTGTAGTCACGTAAGTGAATGAGTAGAAGGGTGTACCGGCATACCTGTATGGTGAATGCGTACTTGTACATAGAAAGTCATAAGGAAAGAATAATGTGGAAGTATGTTTTTTCCCAGTGAAAAAAGAAAGTAACCCTGGTAGGTAGGTAGGTAGGTAGGTAGGTAGGTAGGTAAGTAGGTAGGTAAGTAAGTCAGTAAGAGTCAGATACCTAAGGTGGGGATGGGGGTGCTCTCCCTCTACCAAGAAAATCTGGAAATGAATTCCTCTCTCCCATCCACCATCAATAATAAAGGGTGCCAACCAGAAGCAATTAGGCCAACCCTGCAGTCAAGAGAGTCTAGAATCAGAGACACTGAAGAGGAGCATGAATTCCTTAGAAAAACCTAGGTGTCTGTTTTCAAAGCAAAATAGTCCAGTGTAAGGGGCACAAGTATGGAGGCCCTCAAGTAGGGTTTGGCACTGTCCATTTAAACCAATCTGAATAAAAAAAAAAAATTCAATGATCTGAACATTGAAGCAATTATTACACTAATGCAATAGATTTTGGTAAATGAAGTATTGCTATCAATGTCTGCTGATCTGGCCTGCTCCCATGAATCACCGGGTTTGTGCTTTTGGTAGTAACTCTTTACAAACACATGAAAGAGGAGAAAGCCTTGTTACTCAAAGTGTGTTCCCTGGAACGACAGCAGCAGCAGCATCTGGTAGCTGGTTAACCAAATTCTTGGGCCATACTCTAAACCCAAGTTTAAAAGACCCTTGTTAAAATGCAATGAGATTTTGTACTTTTAACAAGAAGATCCTGTGATCCGTGTACATATTAAAGTTTAAAAAGTACCTAAAGTTTAACCTTCTGACCATATTCATTTGCTTAACAAACTTTTTTGATAAATAAATAATGGCAGCCTTTCCTCTGAGTTAAAGTCTCTGGAATTTGCCCCACTGGGGACTTTCTGTTTGTCTTTTTCTTTGGACTGTAGCTAATAATACGGAATGCTTTTCAAGTAAATCAGTGGTTCCAGGTGGTTCTTGGATGGGAGCCCTGTAACAAGGCTATAAAAAGCCAGATCTTTCTCTTATAAGTTTCCAACTTAAGTATTCCCTGAAGCAAATAGCTTTGGCATAAGGGAGGCAAATAATTTTATGTAAAAGAGATGAATATCTGCATACATAACATAGTGCCCCCCATGTACATCAAAATAAGGGAAATAATTGCCAAAATCAACTTCATTTTAGAATGCTAATGACATATGAAAATGGGTCTTTATCACCCAAACTGAGAAAACAAATTTAATCCACATACTTTTCATATTACTTAAAATTTTTACACTGCCAAAAAATCTTCATATATATATACATATATATCCATTATCCCTTAATTATTTTTATATCCTTCCCAGAACTTATAAAGTTATCACTGTGATAATCTGATAAGTTTTCCACTCATTTACTCCAACCAATGAGCAAAAGAAAACACATAAGGAGAATATCGAATATTTTAAAATAAGACATTAATTCCTCAGTGGAATTATTGGCAAGAGGACTTTCTATTTCAAATATAAAGTCTCAAACTTCACAAAAATTCTCTAAAGTATCCAAAGACAACAAAAACAAATTAATGTAGGAAAATGTAATTAGACTTATGGTATTCCAAAGCAAACTTCAGCACAGAATACATAGCTATGTGTTATGTATCCATACATATTCCAACATTTTGGTATTAATGTTTATCACTACATAATATAAACCATTTGAACAATCATGACTAAATAGACTTTATGTCTTTACCCTTAAATTAAAGATGCTTATATATTTGTATCTGACTGATTACATGGACTTTTTTTAGTAATGGAAGTTCAACCCAGATTCTCAAATACAATAGGCAAGCACTCTACCACTATACCCCAGACTCCCTGCCCCCCCTTCTTCCATTCCCCTTTTTTGAGACAGGATCTTGCTAAGCTGCTGAAGCTAGCCTCAAACTTGCTGCACTCCTGCCTCAGCATCCCTAATGGCTGGGATTATAAGTGTGGGCTACCATAGCCAACAATTATGTGGATTTCTGTTAGTTAATCATACCTAGATGTTTTGCTTCCTGATATCTGTAAAACACAATTCATCAAAATGCACACAAAAACCTGGCTCAATTCAAATTGAAAATTCAAAAACTGCCCTCATAATAGCAAAAAATAATAATAATCTAATTTTAAAATGGGCAAAATACTTGAATAGATATTTTCCCAAAGATATACAGATTACCAGAAGGTGTATGAAAATGCATTCAACATCACTAATCACCAGAGAAATGCAAATCAAAAGCACAATGAGATCACCTTTCATCTGTTAGGATGGCTCTTGTCAAGAGATACAAGAATGTGGAAAAAGGAAACCTTTGTACACAGTGGGAATATAGATTGGTATAACCATCATGAAAAACGTATGAGAAATCCTAAAAAGAAAAAAGAAAGAAAAAAAAAGGATTCATGTACAACCCAGTCATTCCAAGGGAAACAAAATTAGTATCTTGAAAAGATACCTGCACTCCCATTTTCCTAGTGGCACTATTCCTAATAGCCAAGACATAGAATCCACCTAAATGTCCATCAATGGATGAATGAATAAAGAAACACAGATAAAGTGGAATATTAATCAGCCACAAAATACAAGGAAATTCTGCCTTCTGCAACATTGTAGATAAACCTGGAGGACATCACACTAAGTGAAACAAGCCAGATACAGAAACACAAGTACAATATAATCTCATTTACATATGGAATCTTTAAAAAATGTTGAATTCATAGAAGCAGGGAATAGAACAGTAATTGTCAGGGGCTAAGAGTGGAATAATGGGAAGATGCTGGTCAAAGAATACAAACTTTCAGTTATAAGAGGAATAAGTCTTGGAGATCTAATGTTCAGCATGGTATTTATAGTTAAAAATAATGTATTGTATAATTAAAATTTGCTAAGAGAGTAGACCTTAAATTTCCTCACCACACACAAACACAAAATGACATGGTGATGGATGTGTTGATTTGATTGACACATTTCACAAGATATTAGTATATCAAATCATCATACTATATACCTTGAGTATATATAATTTTGATATGTTAAATGTACCTCAATAAAGCTGGAAGAAAAAAATACACCTTCTTTTTCAATGCAGCTGAAATAGATGGAGAAAAACTACATTGCCATGGTGACAAATCTCTCTTTAAATTTGTGACCTGGAATCTCCCCTAGACCTAGACCCTGACTATTTCCAAGTAGCCATACTATATTTCTTCAGTTAAGTCACTCTCCCACTCCTCTGGACAACTAATTAGCACCTTCTCCTCTTTCTTCCAACCTTCAATATCTGCTTACCCATCTTACTCTCATTTGATCTTTCCTCATGTTTCACTGAGAAATGGAAAGAATCCAAAGAGAACACCTACAGATCTCTACCTGGAAGACTGGCAGTGGCCTGCTGATTATATCCTTATTACATCTGGCTAAATTGCCACTGTTTTACCAGCTGAGGAGCTCCACTTACCATCTCCTTCTTATCTTCCTGGAAGTGCACATCCACAAACATTTTTCCAACAACATAAGGAAGGGCACTTTCAATAAAGTTTACACATTTGTCCCATTGAGGCAGCAAAGTTGTGGTCCCCTGGATCACCTGTGGGAGATAATCAATCCAGTTTAATCTTCATTGGATAAAAACTATTTCTAAAAAAATCAACCAGCTGAAGAAAACAATTTTTAAAACATTACACACCCAAGCCCATATACATGTAAGATAGTAGAAGCAAAGGCAAACTCAGATGAAGAAAAATAATTCTGCTTGTTCCTGTTTTTTTTAGAATTAAATAAAAATGTTTTGATAATGAAATATAATGTAACTTGTCTTTTCTCCCACTTTTCTTCATTAAGCAAAGGATCTAAACAATGGTACAACTTTTCTTTAGTCAGTAGGGATCCAAAGGGATGTTCAAGTGTTCAGATAGTACTTAATATCTATTAAGATTTGAAGTTCCATCAGAAAAGGTCTAGATCAAAGTTCCTGCCAGTGAGAGTTTCCTTGCTCTGGGGAATATAACTAAAAATATACTAACAGTAGGATAACATGACCCACCATGAACAACCCAGGGAGCATATTTACATTGTGTCATAGCAGAGAACACACTGGTAAACAAATAAAATACAGATGTAAATGCTTCTCCCTTCAGTCTCAATTATACCATCATAAGAAAACATTTACAAACAAGTAAGGAACTTCGAAAGCAGGACTTGGAGAGCTTAAAGGTTTATTCTTGGGAATAAAGGCAGAGAAATAAATATAGTTTAAGTTGTCCCTGGAGGTTGGGCATGCAGGAAGGCAGTGGAGGGGGGAAGGGAGGCTTTGAGAATGGTGAATGGTGGCCAGAATCATTCCTTGTACAAAGTAAGAACCAGGTTGTTGAAGCAGGGAAAAGAGATTAATGCTTCAGTTCATCTGTTCTTCCTCTGCTTCTGGTAACATGACCCCTCTCAGAGGTAAGGTATGAATCTATTTTTAAAACCTCTAGAGAAAGAGTTCCTACAACCTTCTTTGGCAATTCAAAATTATATTTAGCACTTCACACTCAAGAAACATCCCCTCATACCTAACCTCAAATTTTCACACACTACTTTCTCTTTCTCTCTCTCTCTCTCTCCCTCCCTCCCTCCCTCTCTCATTCTCTTCACAGTGGAGGTGGAAAGCAGCTGGTTATCATCTTTTATGTGATCCATAAGACTTAAAAATACACTCACATCAAAAAAAA